CCTAAGTACATTAATAGACAAAAAGAAAACAAAATAAAAGATACTGAAATTTAACATTAAACCAACGACAATTAATACTTAATATTAAAAAAATAAAAAATATTGTTACTGCTAAACAATGTCAAAGTCTTCCCGCCTCTTCAAATATTTCCTCACATCCTGTTTGGTGAGGTGGAAAATATCAACATCCTCATAATTAATTAAGAATATCGTGCAAAAATAATAAGTCATGCCGACTGACAATACTCGTTGAACAGAATAACTTTGACTTCTAGTGAGCTACGTGCAAACCTCTTTAAAATCCGTTGATTAGTATTTTGTACCTCGTACCACTACTTTGTTAAACTGTCCCTTTTGAAGGCTATATAAGAAAAGAGCGTTCCAATAACTCTGTTTTTAAAACCGAGCTTTCTGAAAGTAATGTGCGAAGTCTAACGCTCGATAATTATAATTTAAATTGAAACTCAGATGGTTAATGAATACGTATAAAAAAGAAAATTCCTATTTTAAAATACCTTTGTTTACAAATAGAAAAACATGATACCGAAACAACTCGTTAGCTCGAACAAACAATGTAAAATAATTAACAAAAACCTAACTTGTATCCGTAAAAATACTGTCACGCAGTAAATGTTACTTCATTTAGCGAATTCTATTTTTACTATATTTTTTTTGCGTATTAACTAATTATAATAAAATAGTCATTTGTAATGATTTTGTACAGTTAGAGGTTTTTTTTCATTGATTCATATTTAATTGCATCACATATAAGGCAATTTAAAAGGCAGGCAAGGTGGGATAGAACCTGTTATACGCCATTTTTTCGATAACTGACAGTAAATAGAAATAAAGACATTTTTGACGTTCATATGAATAAATAATATGCTGATTTATGTGGTTTATAGTAGAATATTATAAGTGCAGCCCTAATGCTTCAACTTAAAATAAATAAATCAATCAGTGGCGCTACAACATTTTGAGGTCTGGGCCTCAGATTTCGGTATCGGTTTAATGATCATTTGTCAATCTAATAGGCAAAAAAGAGAACAGCCTCCTGTGCCTGACACACGCCGTCGACTTTTTGGGTCTAAGGCTTTCCGGTTTTCTCACCATGTTTTCCTTCACTGTTCGAGCGAGTGTTGCGCTCATAGAAAAAAATTCCATTGGTGTACAGCCGGGGATCGAATCTCTCGACCTCAGGGATGAGAGTCACACGCTGAAGCCACTAGGCCAACTGCACTGCTACAATGCTTCAACTTAGCTGACCTAATAATATGTCACAAGACGAGAATGACAATTAAAATCCGCTACTTTAATAAAAATCTGTTTATTCATCTCTGTTATATTAAATGATTCCATCATACTTTGCTGAAATTTTAATTTTACTCAATCATATTAAAATTATCCTTCACATGTTCACCGTTGAGTATTCGAATCTAAAACGAATACATTTCAAAGTTCAACCTGGCCAATTAGAAGTAAATAATAAAATAAATGGATGTTTTAGTAAGTCTTTGAAGTCAACGTAGTCTTGACCGCGACCTTTTGAATACTGAATACCTGTCAGTTTGATGTGCTAACGTGTTTGAGATAGAGAATGCAAACAATTCGAAATTCGAACTTTGTGTAAGGCTTGCCTTTGTATGGTAAAGCAATTGATAAAATCTTACAATCTTGTTAACTTGTTTCTTGAGCCCACTAGAATTACAAGCTCCACTGCTACATGTATAGATAATGTATTTACAGATGCAAAAACCTCAATTACAACTGATCTTAGCTCAGATCATTGTGGACAGTTAGTGGCGCTAAAATGTAAAGTGGTGAAACAAGTAAATAAGAGCAGTGTGTTTGTTCCAGTGAATAAAAAGCGAATGGTGAGATTTAGACATAATATAGGTAAACGCCTACCTTTATTACCGGTAGGTACTACCGTTGATACACAATACAACAATCTAAGTGATTGTATTAATAAAGAGTTCAACACCATCTTTACCTCAAAGAAAGTCTCTCATTCGCAGTGTAAATCGTTTAGTGATTGGGCGACAGCGGGAATTTATAAAAGTAGACAACGGGTTGTATGACCTTTACGCTGAAAAGTCATACAATCATAATGAAGAATTTATTCTTTATGTTCGAAATTATTCGAAATTATTTAAGAAAGTTTGTTACGCGGCCAAGTCCTTAAATATCAAAAACAAGATTAAAAATAGTACCAATAAAACTAAAATGACTTGGAAGATAATTGATAGTGAAACTGGAAGAGTCAGGGATCGCAATCAAGACATCGAACTATGTGTCGATAACACTATAATCAAATCTAACGAAGAGATAGCGATTGTTTTTGATAAGTACTTTTCTGACATTCCAATTTCGACTACTAAGTCTCTTCAATCATCTCCCGCCCTCGCCGAATCGCTGCTCAAAGATAATGTAAACGAGGGCAAGGTCAGTTTTTCATTCCGACCCATTGGTGCCGACGATATAGTGAGGATATTTAGAACCATAGATATTAAGAACACTACCGATCTTTGGGGTATTTCTGTAAAAATAATTAGTAGCATAATTGATGTAATTGCTCCCCATCTAGCTATAATTTTCAACAATTGTATTAAAAAGTGGCGAGTTTCCCGTCTAATGAAACATAGTAAAGTTATTCCTTTATTTAAAGCAGGTAGTATGTCCGACCCCAGTAACTTTAGACCAATTTCCGTACTACCTACTTGTAGTAAAATATTTGAAAAAATTATATTAAATCAACTGGTAAGTCATTTTAACGTAAACAAATTATTACATAATAATCAGTTCGGTTTTACCAAGGGTCGCTCGACAGCCGATGCCGGTGTTGAGTTATATAGATATAGTTAAGGCTTGGGAGGAGTCGCATGACGCTTTAGGTGTTTTCTGCGACTTATCCAAAGCATTTGATTGTGTCCAACACGAGACCTTAATCGGGAAACTCCGCCACTATGGCATCAAGAATACCGCACTGAATCTTCTGACTTCCTATTTACACGGAAGAACTCAGAAGGTTGAAGTGAATGGTAAGAGGTCCTCTGGGTCGGCAGTAGATATGGGGTACCAAGGGCTCAATTCTTGGCCCTTTCCTCTTTCTTGTTTATATAAATGATCTACCTTTCATGGTAGAGAGAAAACATCAGATAGTTTTGTTTGCTGATGACACGTCCTTGATTTTTAAAATCAAACGACAAATAACAAATTTTGACGATGTGAACAATGCTCTGTCTTCGATTGTCCATTGGTTTAGTATGAATAACCTTCTACTTAATGCAAAAAGACAAAATGCATTAAATTTTTGTGCAAAAAATGCAAGGGTTATGGATACTAGACCAATTATAAACGGTGAGGAATTGAATCTGGATGATACAACTGTATTTCTCGGAATCACCATGGATTCAAAACTTCAGTGGTCCCCTCATATTAACGGATTGGCGAAGAGACTTAGTTCTGCAGCCTACGCGGTTAAAAAAAATTCGCTCACTAACTGATGTCGATACAGCTAGACTTGTTTATTTTAGTTACTTTCATAGCTTAATGACTTATGGCTTATTATTATGGGGTCATGCTGTGATGTCGAAACTATTTTTCATCCTGCAGAAGAGGGCTATTCGTGCAATCTATAATTTAAAATGTAGGGAATCTCTTAGAGATAAATTCAAGGAAATTAATATACTTACCTTTCCCTCGCAATATATTTATGAAAATATTATGTATGTATACAAAAATAGTGATAAGTTTACTAGAATAGAACATACGCACAATGTTAATACACGGAACAAACGCAGGCTGCAATTTCCCCGTACTAGACTATCTAAAGTTAGTAATTCTTTTTTGGGGAAAGGGATACTCTTCTTTAATAAAATCCCAGAGGCTCTTTTATCACTGCCTTTCAATAAATTTTAAGAAATGTATTAAAGAAAAGCTGTGTAAAAGGGCTTACTATAAAGTCAACGATTATCTAGTTGATAAAAGGGCCTGGGACTAGTGCTAGACAGGCTACTTCTAATCAATTTGCGATATTTGTTTTAAATAAGTGTTGTTTGATGATTTGCTGTTTTAAAAAGAGTACCGAGAGTTTTTTACGCCGGTTTTCTCTCGGCCTACACCCTCTGTCTTCTTTGCCGATGGTGGGAGCCTTCAAATTTATGAGTGGAAAAGTGAACAGTTCTTTGTTCCATAATAAACATATTTTATTTTATTTTATTTTAAAAGGTAAAACAAAATTGAATATCTGTTGTTAAATATAAAAAAATAAAATTTATCATCTGCAACTAAAATAATATAATATTTAACTATAATATTTAATATGAGATATATAAACTTTTGTTGTACGAATATCTCAAATATTTGAGGTCTCTAATGAGTGCCGGTGACCCAAGAGCTGGTGCTTTCCTCGCTTAACGAATAGGTATCGCATTACAGCGAGGAAATGCTGCCAGCGTTAAAGGTACACTGCCATAGGGACCATACTTTTTAAATTAGTTTTAATTTTCTATTTATTAATTTTTAATTAAAAATAATTATATGTTTTGATTATTATTACACTATGTTGCTTAAGAATATTGTAAATACTTAGTTATATTAATTTGTCATTATGATAGTATTAAATTAAATTATCTCTCAAAAATATTTGTTGGGTGTTAAGAGTTGATTTGTTACTATTTCTCTTTTATTATTAAAAATATATTACAAGGCAATTAGTCAAGAAATAATAAATGACAAAAATGTGATTCATTAATTCTGTTTTTTTAATAAATCGCAAGAAGTTAAAACATATATATATATAGTTGGGGTTTCGCGACTTCAAGCTAAGGAAGATGAATGGGAAAATAATTTGAGACGATTTTACATTATGTTACCTATATGAATAACTAATATTGATTTTGATATAATGTTTAGTTAGAAATGTGCGAGCTTCTTAGTACCGTACACAAACTTGCAACAGCACGCTTAATTTTTTTATTTAATAATGATATTCATACCTGTCGATCCTTGAACATCAGCAAAATCACCATCAGATTCAGAAAGAATCCGAAAAATCCGATAAGGAACAGCACAAACGCAGATGCAACATATCCCCAGCGAGGCATCAGAAGTGGGAATCCTTCATCATACGCCCACAAAACTGTGTCATTTACTTCATATGACGTCATGTTTCATCACACACTATATATCTACACTACATTTTATATGTCATAGTTCTCATTCGTTAGTTGACTGGTTTTGACATTATGATTCAGTCACAATTTACAAGTGTTTTTCTTCAATTCCTGAAACAAGCAAATAAGTAATAAGTAAAAAAAGTCAAGTATTTTAGTTTAAAGATTTTTTTTTGGTACGAAAATTGTCTCGACACGATATCAAACCGTCGAAGAATTTATTATTTTATGTGTTTATTCCCAGCCAAATTTTTTTCGTGTTGGAAGGGGTTGAGGCCCTCAGATAAATTTTGTCTTGCACAAACGTGTGAGATTGTGCCTTTGGACGCCAGCCTTGCGATTCTGTAACTAACTTTTCGAACTCTCACAGCGGTTTTCGCATCAATAAACAATAAACTACAAGCTCCCACAATACCAGAATGCCAAATCATAAAATGACTGCTTCACGACTGATTTAAGCGTGACCGCCGCTGTGAAAACCGCTGGGTGAGTTCAAAAAGTGAGTTACAGAATCGCAGAGCAGATTTGCACTTATGGATTATGATTATTATAATATATCTAATTTCTAGCCAAAACTATATAAGGTAGTGCTCAGCAAATATTCAAAACAAACTAAAAATGATGTTGCAAATTTTATATAATAACTAGCTGACCCGGCAAACGTTTGTTGTGCCATGTATATTATTTTTAGGAAATATTTTTTTAGTTCAATAAAAATAACTATCTACAATAAAAAAAATAGGGGTTGATCGTAGAGGGGTGACAATTAGGGGTTGTATGTATTTGTGTATTCTAAAAAATAAAATCATTTTTTTTTTGGGGTGGACACTCCTTATCACTTAGGGGTTTGAAAGATATATAGTAGCCGATTCTCAAACTTAAGAATAAGACATAAGAATCGGTCAAGCCGTTTCGTAGGAGTATGGGACCGAACATTGTGAGACGAGAATTTTATTTATTTATTTACACTTCGTTACCATTACATACAAAATCATTCATATAAAAAACAAAAAACAAAAAAAAGCAGGTTACATAAGTTATTAGGCAATTTATATATATATAGAGATAAATGGAATTAAATTTGACGGTCTTAAAGTCATCTACCGTTTTAATTAACGTATTTCTATAGAGCCTATTATTGCCTCTGTTGATAAATAGGGGCTATAATAGATAGGCAATTCAATGACACGTAAATCATCAAAACCTATCCATAGTAAGTGGGGTACAATAAAATATAGGGGTCGAATTGTAAACCTGGTTAACCTTTTTTTTAAATTAAATATAAGTCCAGTGTTAGACTAGTAGCTACAGCGTGCGACTCTCATTCCTGAAACCGCATTTCAAACCACGGCTGTGCACACCTTTCTACGTGTTAAAAATCTTGAGGAAACTGGCATTACATAGAACCGAAAAATTCGTGTTCAACATTTATTTTATCCCTAGTTAAAGGAAATTTTGTATCATCTTCATGAAAAGTGTATGTCAAGGAATAATATTATCCTTTTTAAGCAGAACATTTTTAAAGGATTTCATTTAAATATAAAAAGGCCATAATCGTTTAATTTTTTGAATATTTTTTAACAAAGAGCTATTGAGCTACGCCTGATGCCTTAGACTGGGGCTTCTTCATAGCGGTTTATTTTTAATTATTAATTATCAAAAATACATATTTCTCTAGACTGTATAGCATCGCAGAAATAATTATTTTTAGATACCAATACTTCAAAGGTTTCCTTTTCTATTATTGAAGTGGTTTTACTGAAGTATTTTTGGCTATTTTTATCTTATACTTGATCAATGCGAACGCCTCACTGGTGAAGGCCCAGAAAACCCAAGATAGCGTTATACAAGGTTATACCGTTTTTGTTACATATCTATTGTATTATAAAATATAAGAACAGGATAATTTGGTGACATAAGGGCATTGTAACGAACGATCTCGAGACCTCTCAAAATAACGAGTTGGTGTCGTGTTAAACATTTTTGTAATATTTTATTTCTACAAATATGTTATGTCACGGGTCAGAAAGTGATTTTTCCTAGGAGAGCGTGTAATTTAGTATAGTGTAATATTTTTGTGTGTGATCTCTGAATCACTTAAATAGGTTGCAATAGTAGTTTCATTCCATCTCAACAGTACCAACACTAGTTTGTCCCTTGCTACATTTTGTTAATACTCTAACAAAATATTTTATAAGAACATTGGTACTGACGTTTAGTCACATTTTCAAACTTAAAATCCATCCTTTTTTTAAGGTAAGTTTTTATTAAAATTTTAACAATATATCCAAATGATAATGTTAGATTTCCCTTGTTGCTGAAACATAATTCATATTTTAAAGTTATCTGTGCCCCACAAACACTACGGCTTGTCAGTTGTCGGGTTATAGTAAATATAAATTCTCAATTGAAAGTTATAAACAAAACACGTAACCTAATATGTACTATTTAATATAAATAAGTATCTTTATTATGCTCGCCTTCAAGTGGGCTCTTTGCCAGATCCAGATGGGTTGTACGGTAAACAATTTGTCACAAAAGATTCAGAATCTTCACACTATTTATAGTAGGTTATTATTGGAAATGCTTCTTCCAATAATAACCTTAATCTTCAGGGATATTTATACACGGTTACCCCATAATATGTTCGATGTAGTTAAATAATTAATCTAAATTTTATCAAATAAATTACTAAATAGTTTGTTTATAAGATGAAAATGTAGACAATTAACACTTTTAGTAAATAAAATGGGTTAATTGCCACAATATTCATAGACGCTCACTTGGTCATTCACCTACAAACTCCCTTCACTTACCAAAACGTAACATGATATTGCTTGACAGCATGCCATGAGATTCCAAAAATGAGGTTGGTGACAAAGGAACTTCTGTTAAGTGAATTGAGTTGGGAGTATGTATTAATAAGCGTATTCCAATTCCAAATTTCCATAGTAAATTAATTTTTACGATGGACCTCCATTAAAATTGAATGCAAATGAAATTATTTTCCAGTCCACCTATAAAAGATTAAAATCATCGTTTACTGAGTGTATCAGTTTTTTTAATTTTAATACAATTAAAATAAAGACTCAAATATAAGGTCTTTCCTCCAACTTTGAATTGTTCCCTTAAGAGAAGAGAAACTTGATCCCGTGGGGTTTAAGTGCACAGGGGCAAATTAAAGATTTAAGGCGCCAGGTAGATAGTTCCGGTGAGCCTAGAGCTGCCTAGCGATTCTGTAACTCACTTTTCGAACTCACACAGTTTAGTTTATCAGAATGCCAAATCATAAAATGACTGCTTCACGACTGATTTGAGAGCGACCGCCGATGCAAAAACCGCTGTGTGAGTTCGAAAAGTGAGTTACAGAATCGCAAGGCTGGTGCTTTCATCTCTCAAGGAATAAGTATCGCAATACAGCGAGGAAATGCTGCCAGCAATAAAGGTATGCTACAGGGACCAAACTTACTAAATTTGTTTTAATGTTCTATTTATCAATTATTATTATTACTACTATGTAGGTTAAGAATTAATAAATTGTATTTACAGTATTTATGTGTTGGAAATAAATATTAAAATAATTAATTTAAATATGAAAAGAGCAAAATATGGTGAAAAATCATAGCTTCTGTTCTGTTATCTGAAAATTAATCATCCTGGTACTGATATCAGCATGCCATGAAAATTAAATATGTCTCAAATAAACTAAAAAAAAAACCCAAATTATTTTAACTAATCAAAAAGGCGTTTAATGCGTTAATTTTATCGCAAGTTTGACAAGTTAATTGACTTGTTGATCGAAAAAAGGCGCTAATCACAGTCTAAGGAATTCAATTAACACTTTAGAAACTGGGCGTAAATGAAGCATGAAATGGAGGTCAACCTAGAAAATTTAAAAATTCTTGGTATCTAAATAGGTTGCGTAAAACTCAAGCGATATAATAAAGTGTCATAACCGTAGCGTGTACCTTTACGTTGTGCGACATTAAGAGCTTGTATTACTCTTTTCGTTATTTTTTAGCTTTAAATAAAATGTCATAAACGCGCATCCTCTAACAAATTTTACCTGTGTCATTTTCTTAAATTATTTCCCAAATAACTTAAATTTTAACCTATGATTCGTCGATTATTTTTTGTAGTTTCTCTGATTAGTTGGACAAAATATAAAAACAACCTTTAGTAACACTGTTTATAGGAAGAATAAGTCAAAAAACAAATTGAATAACTAAGAACACAAGAGTAATTCATAGCAATCAGAAATTATACAGCGTGCTACGTACTTAAGGGCATTACCAAACAAGGCGTGCAAGGTGCGCGGCAGCAACATGTGGCATTCGTAGGGCACAACAACGAATGCTCAACGCAAATTAGGGATGCTCGATGATCATCGATGTTTGATGGTCATCGAGCCTCGATGTAAGTCTGCTATGATCGCATCCACAAATCAAGTTTATTAAAATTCTGAACGCGTATTCATTCACTGCGGACCGGTCGTTCACTTCGTTCGTTCTTCGTAGGAGACTACGAAGAACTCTTTCTCTCTCACACTTCCTCACTACTCTTTATCAACAAAGAAATAGATTAAGAGGTTCTTCTTTATCAAAATTACTTTACATTCAGTCAGTTGATAAAAAATTTCGGACCATTTAACTGTATTTTAATTATTTGTCAATTATTGTTGTTGATGTTCGATTTCGATAAATATCGACCATCGATGTTGGGCTTTCGATTATGATATTGATGTCAATATCGATGTTTTTCTAATATCGATAATCCCTAATGCGAATGCATTTGCGCACAATAAAGCGCGCGGCACGCCTATACACGCGCTCGAATACCGCGCTATATTTGGTCACACCCTAAGAAAACAAAATGAACCAAATGAAAGAACGAACGAAACAAAAACAAAACGATTTTGATAATTTATCATTGAGATTTCAATCGTATTTTGTTTATATTCATTTCCTATTCAACCTTTCGTATATTGGCTTGTC